TTTCTTAACACACAGAGGAAAGGTGAATAAAAGGGTCCAAGAAAAACTTATCGCCATTTATTGAACTGAATAAGAATTCTTGACGCTATATTTTAGATTCTGTGCTAGTTTAAGGGAAACGTCTGCTAAATAAAACATCATTTGCGAAAGACCTGGGCTGTTGTACTGAGAAATTACGTAGTCTGATGTATAACCAGAGTGGTGATTCATTTGACAAAGTCTTCACTCCTTGTATGAAGAAATTCTAGCTTACTGCCAAGGGTGTGATCAAAACTGGGTCCAGTTGAAGATGAATATGTTTGTCCCCGCTCCAAAGCCAAATTAACGTCATCATCAGTAGACTGTGTCCATCCACAATAGCCTTGCTCGAAGTTGCAACTGAAGCTAAGATCGGTATCTTTCGTAAATAAAACAAACGCCAGCACCATTAGAGGTATTAGTGTGATCTTTGAGGTCACCTAACTCACCAGTACTGGACTTAGTTGTTTCAATTGATCGAGTCAAAAGTCTAGGAGACACCATAATTTGAAGCTGTTGCCAATATAGGTGGTCCTGTGCCACAATTTCTATGTAATTTTCAATTTACGAATACCCAAAGCAGGTTGAGGATTATTGAGATTGGTTCAAAGACGGTAAAAGACGTACATGTACATGGTTTCAGCGCAGATAAAAAACAGAAGTGAGACGTTTTTATAAAACTACTTATCCTAAAAGATATGACCCGTCTGAATGCCCTTACTTTTCATCTGTTGTCAACTGGTCAACATCTGGACATTAATCCTTGTGTTCTGAATGCTACAATTTTGTCATGCATGCTAGACTCCTACGATCTACCGTTCAAAGTCTTCAAAATCACGGTTTTTCTTTAAAGATCCGGAGAAAATTAAATGTACCTGACATGCAAAGCTCTGGAGATATTGTGACATCGTCGATTGCAATATCAGTCAGTTTGGTGCTCCCTGCAACAGCCTCCAATGCTACTATGAAATCAGATGTTTGGTTGGTGGCATCTACCAATGCCTCTATCCATAATCGCTGGCCAGTTTGTTGCCCAGTTACGGAGAACGCTGGAGTTTGAGTACCTAAATTGGTACTCTGACCAGCAGGAATCACATACGCATGCAGGGATGCTGCAAAGAAGTCATGTTTTTCACGAGTAACTATCAAAGCCCTCTTGTGCTATCAAGTACATTAGTACATTTACAAATAACGGAGTATATTTTCCAAGTTCAATTTCAGATCTCGTATGAACTTCGAAAAAAATCTATCCAATATAAAAATAACTCGAAAATTGTATCTTGTAAAACGAAACAAAGTTTTGAAAAGTGATACTGGATGGCACTTGTCGGCTTTTGTAAGCTTCCCATGCAGCGTTCGTTTTTTTCACTCAAAGGGAAAGGAGAGGTGATTTGCGACCAAATATAACAGAGAAAGCACTCTAAAGGCCAATTGCGTATTTTTTAAATGACACTTTGAGGAAATGAGGTCTGGGGTCGGCAATAAAAAACATACGCCACAATTTGGGACAGTAACTGTTTTTCTGATGATGCGAAGTGTAAGTATGAAAGGGTATTGAGGATGAGTCCTGACCAGTTTCCAGGACCATCTGTTTCCTTACCTATATCACGACCATACATGTTGTACCAGAAACTTAAACACCAGGAATCTTGTGTGAGGGAGCCCGAAATAACGGGACTGAGAAGTACAGCCTTGTCGTTAAGTGATGGATCGTTGCCCTCGATATAATAGAACAAGCCTGTTGCATCTAAAGAGAAAACAAATTTCAAAATAGAATTACATTCGATGTCAGAGTCCGATGAAAAAGGACAATAAATCCAACATTACAAAAGACAAAATGGAAACATGTAAACAAATATGTAGTCTATTTAATTCATTATATAAAAATGACGCAGTGTTTATAAACTTTCCAACTGTCATGGTGGGTCTATACTTTAAATGCCTAGCGCTTAGTTTGATTTGCACATTCTCAGGATAGTATAAAGGTGAACACTTGATTTCCAGAGTTTGAATCCTAAAGCTGTGCAAATGTCGGCCTACAACACCTTTATGAAAATGGAAATATTAACAGATAAGTAGGGCCTACATGGAACGTCAGTCCTTTCTCACAAAAAGATATTTTTTCAACATAGTATCCTCGTAAGTGACACAAATCAGGGATTACTTTTAAAATCTCACACGCAATAAAAGTCACAATGAAGCACGCGACTCTGATCTATATACACTCCGTTTTGTTTTAATTTGCACTTGACGTCAATGGCCCATTTACCACTAAGATCTTCCCTTCCCTACTTCTCTACCCATACTTGCACTAATATTGCCTCTGCACTTGGAAACAGCAGCGTAGTCATCAAGGTTAAGAGTCCAGGAGTCGAAATATGGATTTTACTTTTTCAAAACGATTGTGCAACTTTTTTCTTCATCATAATGCTAAAAGCGTTTCTAGTATGTTCATGCTTTTAAATCTTTGAATCCAGAGGTACGCCTTTCCTAAACCACACGCCAGGGCTTGGCCGAGTCATAACTGAGCTACTTGTATTTCATAGACGATGCTGGGTGCATTTTAGTCATGGAGAGTAGAAAATAACTTTCAAAAATACATGGAACGTTTTCATTCTTTATGCATCGCATCTTCTCTACCTTGCCAATTCAGGCTCACCGAAGTTGCACGAAATTAATGATTACTTTGCAATGGGTACATGCTATCAAATTAAGGTCATTCACATAATTTCTTCAACTCTAGCAGTGCTACTTACAAGACCACATAGCTACAGGCATTAGATTAACTAAGGAACTGGAAATTCTGCCTTTAATTCGGAGAATTACACTAAAATTCCCACAAGCAATGAACAGATCGTTCAACTTTGCCATGATTGTTTTCATTCAGAATCAAATGCAACATGCACACTTATATATTTTAGGATTAAAACAATTTGGTTCAATTTAAAATTCTCAAATTTAATAACAGCTTACCTCCGGTAGTATGATCAAATCTTGGTCCCGTGTGATCTGTACGAGTTCTTTCACGTTCCAGCGCCCAGTTATAGTCATCATCAGTTGACTGTATCCAACCACAGGGACCATCGTCAAAACTGCAGTTGAAGGACGTGCTTTGCACTATACCAGGAATCAAATGTACCATACTTTTAACATGTCTCCAATATGTGCTACGATCGGTCCATTATCAAAGTTACGTCTTATAGCATTTTTAGTGTTGATTACACCTCACATGCGTCAATTTTAAGCGGGAATGCTACAGTGACATGCCTTGTACTGACTAAAGAATGAAAGCAGATAATTAAGATGTTTCTTTTTTTTTGCGTTGGGGAGGTGTTAATTATATGACCGGTTTTTGCCCTACCAACGTAGATATTGATAAACACTCTATGCTCAGTGCTTGTGCACAGTGCTAGTGCACGTGCAGTGGTAAGCAGGAGGTCGTGGGTTTGCGTCCCATCCGAGTAAGCTTGTGAATTTTTTTGCAAGGTCTCGGACAAGCATTGAGCTTACGGTGTTTATCAATACATACGTTGGGTAAGGGCAAAACCCGTGAAAGGGATAATTAAGATTCACAATGGCTTAGACGTAAAGAGCTCCAAGAATTCATTAATAGGGTCAGAAATGAAATACCCTCCAAAATGGAATTCCACTCACTTGGGCAGTCAGTCAACCAAAGTTCAACGTCATCAATCGCAATATCGCTCTTAGCCGAACTGGTAGTTGTCAACTCCACAGCCACTGTGAAATTTGACGTTTGGTTGGAGACGTCGACTTGAGCACGCAGCCATGCATGCTGGCCGGTCTGTTGACCCGAAATGCTAAACAAGGGTTGTTTGGATGAAACATCGTGGCCATCGTCGGTTGGATATGCATAGACAGACAGGGATCCTGGAAAGAATAAGTATATCCCAGAATCAGTAAGAAGAGGCATCGACAAACCAGGAAACTTTCAAACTTAAATGGCGCGTCAAATTTCCTAACTTCCCTCAAATTCATGTACTCAAATCAGTTCCTAAAACATTGTGCATTATGTTGCACCTTTAGAAGTTGTCCTTGTCCCGGTTCATCGAATGAAAAACATGACCTCTCATCCAGTGGCAAGGTCAGGCTCTTTTTCAGGAGGTAATTTCCATGGAAGTATAGTTTCTCCCCTGTCTCCCTGTTCCCTCAACAATTTTGTTCCTCGCGACAACATTTGTTATTGTTCGCACAACAAAACTGGTTGTTCATTTCAATAAAATACGTGTCCCTTCGCCGACAGTATATTTTTCCACCATGTCCTCTTAAGACCACCACGCACGTGGTATGTGGAGCTTGGAAGAAATATATTGGGTTCACTACCTCAGACCATGCTCAGACAAAGCCACTCACCTGTATCTGTTCCAAACATATTGTACCAGAACACGAAGCAGTACACCTGGTCCATAATGTAGGCCACTTCTGGACTCAGTAAAACTGCGTCGGGGCCATTTTGTCTGTCGTTAGCCTCTCGGTGTAAGTAGGTTCCTGATGTGTCTGCAAATTTCAAGCAAGGTGCAAAGGTTAAATCTGCTCGTTCCCACCTTCCACAGAGGAAATCCATTACACTGAGTAAAATGTGTTGTTACGAGGAATGGCCGCGTCCAGGCTACAAACTTAAAACCTATCTTAGGGCAAAAAGGAAAAATGAAGAGCACGTGCAAAGGACACTTATAAGACATATTTACAAGGACCGCATTACAATGTCTATGTTCCTTATCCAAAGAGTAAAATGCATGCGCTGCATTTAAAAAAAGTACAGTTTTTACTCTCCGTTTTAAGTATAGAATACATTTCGATTGTTCAAATTCCAATTCTGCATGTTTCTATTGCCCTTAGGAGAAAAAAGTAGACGGGGATTAAAAGTAGTCTACCTCGTCCTTGGGAATACCCGTCATCGTGTCAAAACAGGATTGCAGTTTTCCTTTGGAACATAGGGAAACATAATACATTTTGCGAATTGTTTAATGCAATACATGTAGCCAGAAACTGTTGCAAAAACAATCACTGGGTAAATCCAAGAAAACAGAGCCATCTAACAAACTTACCACCGCTTGTATGATCGTATCTTGGACCTGTATTGCCTGAAGCTGTTCCCCCAGAGTCGAGAACCAAGTCGTAGCTGTCGATAGTTGATTGTGTCCAGCCGCATAGATTGTTGCCCTCAAAGGTGCAGTTAAATCCTGTTGGAAAGAATAGGGTGTAATGAATGGGCTATAAAGTTACATACATGTATAGTTACCCCCTTTGGCTTAAAAGGGATGGGCCATGAAGTTTTAAGTTGACGTTATATGATAGTTTCCTACCGTCTTATATACAATAAGTTGGATTAACCCCTCTTTTATGTCATTAAATCATCAAAAATTGGCGCTTTCCGTGTACATTTTTTCAGTCTCCGCCTGGGCTCTTCGCAAAAACTTACCGAATTCGGTCGATGAGGGCAGCAGACAAATCTTTGCAAAAATGTGACGTCATTGGACGGGCTCGACTTTCCAGACAAGAATCCATAGCTCCGGCAGGAAAATTGATCGGTCTGCGCAAGAATAATATTCTCTGCTCTGGCGCATAGTCGGGTACGTAAATCGTACGTGTCAAGTCAATTACATTTGGTCTTGTTTCCTATTCCCTTCTCTTAACACAAGGGAGAGCTATTGGACAACTAACTTGACGCGTTGCGTTCATTTTGTTTTGTATCGCGTCAGTTTTGTAGATTCCCAAGCGACTTTTCACACCAGCGTTTGCAGGTTAGATTTCCGGATGGCACACATTCAGATATTTACGAGGACTCAAAATTCCAGTACCAGTACTGACATGTACATGTACATGCACACCCATTACTTACGAGGTAAACTGGAACTACATATATTGCACTGGCGCACGTGGACTATTTTCCGGTGCAAATAATGCCGCACGGTCGTCAAGCACGCGACCCGTTGCGATGCCAAGCAAGTGACTTGCAGTGCACGGTGAAAAAAACATATGTCGAAATGGAACACCAAGTTTGACGAAGTAGGCTGGCCTATAACTATGGACAAAAAAATACTTCCACTATACAGCTATCGAATAGCCAATGGTAGGACAATTGAGTTTAAAAAAAAAATTTTTTTTAAATAGTGCATGAAAGAATCATGACCAGTTAGTGTTTTGTTGTCATCCTCCGGGTCGCCGCCATGCCCGTGGCCAACAGCCTCAAGTTGCAAAATCTATTCCTGAATGTATTCTGGTTCGATCCGACAAGGCAATATTTCTTGTGCCTGATCAGCTCCTTCAATGTCACTTTTTTGTCAAAATGAATAAGACGAATATGACAACAGATTGCTGTGATCGGAAAAAGCATTAACGCTGGAATTATCGGAGCTTCAGTCTGACATGATTGAAAATCTTGAAAATGATTGCACCTGCTAACGCTTCTACATAAATACATGTACACTGTCTACGCGTCGTTACGTAACAGTAATCAGTCGCCAGATAAAGTACATTAGAGAAATGTGGAAGGGCTGCATAGCACCGTAATCAGAATATCGACGAGAATAAAATATCGAATCAGTGCTCTGAAATATGTGATTGCCGAGCTTTTGGTAGCTGAGTACCTTCTGATTGCCCTGGAGAAGGTACTCAGTTACGACGTCACGATCCTTGGGAATTTCTTCAGACGACTTTCAGTATCCGATGGCTGTTGTTTAGCTTTTGCTCCCAGAAGGGAGTGAAATAGGGTCGTGAAAACTATAATTTTTAACATATTTCCGCGAATTTTGAAACTATTCAGATGTGTTTTCTTGATATATGTTTGTTTTATGTGCTGATGCATGTTTTACAAGAAATCTTCTCAGCACGGCCCATCCCCTTTAAATGGTCAGGCTCTTGCAGGGGGCGAGTGTCATTCGGAGAAAACAGAGACAATGAGGGGAACCTTCATCGTGTGTTTGCTGTGGATAAACCCTTGTGCATGCCAAACAATGCATGTAGCCATTGTTCGGCATGCACAAGGTTTATCCACTACTAACACAGGGCGAGGGTTCCCCTCGTTTTCCATATTATGCAAGATATGCGGCGGAGAGATCCCCTCCGCCCTTTGTGTTGGTCATTGTTCGATCAGAATCTCAGGACTTCTTTACAGACTTCTAGGGGGATGTGTTAGGTAACAGTAGTCGAGAGTGTATAGGGTAGGGATTGGACATGGGGGGGTGTTACCCATCGGCCCCCATATCGTGCACAGTATCTCGTTTTCTCCAAAAACATTCAGAACTCGCATCTTGCCATGATCAGCTAAATAGCCCATTTAAGCTTGTTACAGTTGAGCTGTGAGGACAAATGATCCTGCGTTCGCTTTGGATGCTTTGATATATATTTCAAGAGAAAAAAATCAGAGAAGACATGATTTCCTTGGAGGTGTTCTTTAAATGCTGTGAATCCCATGGTTCGTGCCTGACTCTACCAAGATACGCTAAAAAAAATTCAATATAGTTCAATAAATGACAGTCACCCTGGCGATTAGGGATGGTGGTCCAAACATTTGAAGGCTGCTTCGTTCCTGGCGGAAGGGCATATTGATATCTGATTTTCGATTATATAATTTTGGTTTATACAAAAATTTGTTTCAACAAGCATGTTTTATCGAGTACACAATTGACTTCATTCACGTGGCCGGCCATATTGAATTTGAAAGCGAAGTTAACTCTTCTTTTGGGAATGTTGAGAGTACAAATAAAGCAGTAAAATGAAATTTGATGAGAAATTTGCACCTGTCTACCCTAATGAATCATTTCTATTTCATGACTGAACACATAGAATTCTACATTGCCAGATTCTGAAAATTATTAAAAGGGTGGCTTGGAACGCATTGAAGTATAAAACAGTCTGGTGCCATAATCAGCAGTTTGCAAAATATAAAACAGATTTGGGGAACAAGATAAAAAAAATGGCCTCCACTTGAATAGGGTCGAGTGGTTCTGAATGTTCAGTCACTAACGCACTAGTTTCATTATGCCCTCTACTATTAGGGTAATCTCCTTACTCGCGCATTTTGTACAATCTTGCAATCCTGAAATGTCTTACCTTGTCCTGTGACACCTGTTGTTAAGCCAAAAACCAGGAAAACCCAGCCCAAAGAATACATCCTTCGACTTTTGATGGAGGTGAGGGGACTGGGTAAAAGAAAACGGACAAAAATGGGATAATTATTTATGGTTCCAAATTGACTGTATATATACTGAAGAGGACTCTCTACGTTTCAGTAATGTAGTGAAAATCTAGTCTTTCACCTTGAATATTTAGAAATCTGACTGAATACGAAGATTTCACAAGGACAGACTGGACGCTTGGGGCATACGGTACACTTCAACACAAAGAGAGCTGGGATTTTCGTTTCTTTACCTGCGTTTTTTCATTTCTTGGATTTTTCGATTTCAAAACAAAAACAAAACAGCACAATTTTTATGTCACGCATGCACATACGTAAGGTAAAGGGCCTGCGAAAGGTCATTATAATCATGCTTAGCATGCAGTCTTTGTAAATGCGTTCCTTGATTGTGTCCCATTTCACCTTATTGAGGTGGTCAGACTTGAGACAATTCTAACTTTGCATTGAACCCGTCACGTATTCTGCCAGTGTTACGTATTCTGCCATATGATTACAAAATTTTACTGTTACTTCTGTTTGGACTATTCTGAACTCTCGCTCTGATGGTCATCGCAAACTCTCTGTAATGCTGCAAGAATATTCTTATTAATTTGAGAAGGAAATAAATTGCAGGGCTGTTTTCTCGTGCTGAATGTATAGGTACAGTTTTGTAAGCTAACGCTTTGTACTTCGCCACGGCGTACCTGTAATTCGACTTGCTGCCTTTTTCTGGCTAGAGTTAATTTCGCTATGAAAATGACTCTGAAGAGAGAGCAGGGTTGCATAGTACCCACGTACCTATTTCCCTTTCATCAAAACACTTTTCATTCCCACCTATTCCTACCTACATGCATTTATCTATACCCGTCCGAGTCGATACTCATTCTAATGTATATTTTAAGTATTTTGTATGTATATTGTATATTTTATGTATATTGCTTACATTATTATTAATTTCATGAACAAATCACTGTCGTCAATCCAGTGCATTACCAACCATAATTACACAGCCCTAACAGACCTGAATCCTCTGATTTCAATATGATTTTATATATATTCCGGCGGGTCTAGGTTAATGCCATTATTGTGTCTGTATTTTTACTAACCATTGTAACGAAATGAAATACTCTTTCCTAGGGCAATTGAATTTTTAATTGTCAATTCTTGAATCTTTTTATCAGAAATCTATCGTGAGAATTATTTCCTGGAGTTGATTCTTGCTTATTTGGGGAAATTTCCTCACATTTTCTGAATTGCCAAGGAAAGTGATCCTAAAATACATAATTAGGCGTACCAATTGAACATCGTAGGGTCACACCATCCCTCACGTAATAAACCGTGATACTTGATTTTTTCTTTTTACTTTTAAAGGGATGTATAATTTTAAATGACCACATTATCCAAGGTGTGTGGATTAACCCCGATGTTGCCGTCGTTTCATTACTGAGTATAATATTTTGTTAGAGATTTTTTTATAATAACTTGCAATAGCCTGGGTCTAACTAGGACAACGAGATAACGAACAGATAGTTTTCATTATTAGATTTTATAATTATGCGAATGTTGTTATATTAATACTATTATGAATATAGCCAAATTAACAGTGTCTTCTTGAATGACATCACGGAAGCAGTACATACACAGTTAGAAACATGGACTTGACACTTTGTACATAAACCCTACAAGACTGGTCATAGGAATTCCAAGTATCTTAAAGCAAGTACAAATACTTAAATGTTTTCCCTAATGAATTTAACATTTTAGGCCAATCTCTTATGCATGGCTGATATTCCACTTTAGAGAAAAATTAGTAATGTCCGTATTTGACAACTATTATCCTGTAGGACTCTCACTTGTAAGGAAAAGCTTGAAAACATTAAGCCTAACCCCTAAGTATTCTTTCCACCTGGATACATCCGTTTCGGAATCCTTCCTCATTCTCCATTGTTTGCCCCACTTTTGCAGACTATAGACCACCAGTCCAACCTTAACTCCATGGGCTGCGTGCGGAGTCCTTCAATATCAAAAAGACTTATTCTCCACTGGAATCTCTGCTGCCTTTTCCAAAAGATGCAGTTTCACCTGTGCGTAATTTCGTTTTTGTTTAAAAGTACAGTGGAAACCTATTTTGCGTTCTGTGTGTTTACTTTCAAGAGTATTGGAAAAGTTAATGACGTCGGTCTTTCATTGTAAGTCAGTGTGTAGGACATCCCTGTTCCCGCAATCATTGGTTTTGATGATTGTGAATGATGTATGATTGAATAGCTGGTATCTACGCGTATTTCTTGAACCAATGCGTTTAATCAGCTTTTTACAACCTACGAAGCTCACTCTTCTGTAAGAATCCAGCCGCCACATTTTTTTTACAAAGTTACGTTGTCAACAAACTGTCTGAAGATTCACTTTCAAACCTGTTTTCCCTGGAAAATCAAATTTTGTATAGCCTAATCAGAAAGCGCTTACTACAGAAATTGGAATTAACAAAAGTGAAACGAGATTACGTACGCCTTATTTAACTACAGGTTGTGGCCTTACGCGACGTATATAGATATATTTTATAAAGTCTGACTCAGACCGGCAAGGCAACCGCAGCAAGCTCAGTGGTCGAGTGGTTAATGCGTCTGCAGCAGTAAGCAGGAGATCGAGGGTTCGGTCGTGGGTAAGCTTGTGAAGTTTTTTCACAGGCTCTCGGACAAGCACCGAGAGAAGATAGGACCTGCTACCAGGAAAACTACACAAATTTGTATTAGTTTGCTACTCTTACAACTCTACATGACAAACAGTACCTCCTAAATGATGAAAGTGTGCTATATTCCAGCTCAGATGTGCAGTGTCATCATCGTCATCAACATGTGGCTCCAGCAGGGATTTCAAGCTTGTGGAAATTGCATCTCGTAGAACGATATACACATGCCCTTAGATTTTACAGGTCTGGTTACTAGCAGCACTGATAAATGATCGCTGGTGTGCTTTCATCTGAAAAGACTCAAGTTACCCAAAAGCGACGCCCAACGAAACACGTTGCATAATATTCTATTGCAGATTATCAAGAACACAATCGGTCCTTTTTTCCCCCTGACCAGCAACTTCTTTATGGATCAAGGCACCAACGCCTGCATTTACACTAAGAGACAGGGACATGATGCCCCGCGTGCATGCCAGAGCATTGAAGAACTTGGACACAGGAGTTGCGACTCACGCACTTCAAAGTGTTCAAACAAAGCACAAAATGTTGTAAACAACCGGGCTATTTATTCTTAAAATAACTCCAGAAGAAAGAGCTCATTAAAGGCAATGACTGCACAAAAAGCCACCAGTTCTTCATCCCACCTACTCGTAAAGCCTGGCTGGTGGGCTCATTCCCAGACCACCACAGCAGATCTTCGAGTCACCGACCCTGGGTATCTCAAAGTCCTGAGCGGAAGGTGCCGAATTTATAAAAAAAACTGCCCTGTCCCAGCCATACGTGTTCTGTACGTGTATTTTTTTTTAAACTTGTACACAGTTTTCTTTATAGGCCCACATCAAGATTTATCTGCACCTTCTTGCTTCTTGCGGGCGCCATGTGCGAGTTTCCTCCTATGGAGGTTTCTGAATAGCACAGGCAGATAGTGATGAATTCGGGAATGCGAGAACCTGACTGAAATTAAGCCCAACTCACAATGTCACTACGATTTTGGTCTGAATGATCCCGATTCACTTGTCTATGATATAATCGCTCTCTCCTCTCTGACCGAACCGAAAACGAGTTCAGTTGGCGCACGTCATCTTGGTTCCCACCATGTCTTGCGTGCGCAACCTAACCCCTGGTACATTGTATAAATTTAGTTTTGTTTGTCTGAGCGGCTGAAATACCGAAAGGTGAACACCACCTTTGGATGGAATGCTGTGGTGTTGGCTCATTCCACTCCCTTGTGCTTGATTCAATGAAGCTATTTCCATCGTTGTGATTCCAAGCGTATACTAATTATGAGGGGTGCACATTGCCGGGCCTTTCACTTTCATGCCTACGCTTCACGTCGAGTATCGACCACACGTTCTAGCTCTTCTGTGTGCGCGTTAAGTAAGCAATGTCGTCAGACGAACCTCAAACAGGCACATTGAACGCCGAGGTTTGGTTTCGAAAATTTTAAGACTATTTTGATACGAAGTTTGAATCAATTTTCGCTGCAAATCATTCCAAAGACGATTCGGCATTGAAAGAACTTAAAAACAAGCTTGAAGCGCAGGAGCTCTCCAGACCTGGCAATATTGCTCAATTTGCTTTCTTTGGGCAAATAGAAGTTGTTTTAGATAGAATCAAGCTCACCTTATTTCAAAAGGCCGATGTACAAAAGGCAATTGACTATATACAGGAAGCTGAAGAGGGGGTAGCGGAAAGGAAAAAGCAAATAAAAATGGCAAACGCCAGCAAAGCCGGTTGGTTGACGATTCAGCGGTTGGAGAAAGGAGGGAAAACGAACCAGAACGCAAAAGAAGGTTCAAATCGCAGAGGAGGCTGCCTTGAAGGAACTCGGAAGTCGTAAACGTTAAAAACGATCGTTCTCTTATCAACTACAAAATGATTCATGCAGCAAGGTTGGCGCTGATCGTAGTCTTTTTCGAGGTGACTGTCAGTTTCTTTTCTTTGTCTTATTTTCAGAGGGCACCTGAAACATGGCCACACTCCCACGCTTTAATAAATTCTGAGATCAAAATTGATTGTGTTTGTTCTTTGATTTATTGAGGTTGTCTCAAAAGAATGAAACTGCTTTTCATGCAGATAAGCGTAGCGAAGGAGCATGAAATTTAAATGTCCTACAATTTGGGATGTCTAAATTAGGACATTAGTCAGTGTGTTAACGTGCAACGCAGATTTACACGTGCGTGGCGTGGAGAAGACTGAATATGTGGGCGTGAGCGTGCCGCTTTTGAAATACACGTGCGATTGACTTTACGTCAGAGTTGTAACCAAAGATTATATAGCGCCGCTTAGCGGCGCAAGATGGGTATTTCGGCCATAAAGGTGTTATCAAATTGAGCGCCATTCGAGTGTGAACGTTCATGTGTGTGCGTGCCTGTCGTGGCGCCTACCTGCGCATTAACATGCACTGCGCAGTCGTAGTCCAACCAGAATGGCGCCCAATGTGATAACAACGTTTTACGCGTATTCATGGTGAAGTTCCCCATCTTGCGCCGCTACGTAACAAGTAACGAGTCACTGATTTTTGTGACTCAAGTCGAGTCAAGTCATTTCACAGCAGAGAGTCGAGTCGAGTCATCACACCAAGAAGTCGAGTCGAGTCAATTATTTTGCCCGATTCAATTTCAGTCACAAACATTTGGACACATAATAGGCCTAGATAAACATCAAGAGACAGAAATTTGTTTGCTGTTTTGAATTTATTAATGAGGAGCATAGCACAACATTTGCTAAGTGTGAAAAAACTGCACTCAATAAAATCACTCTGCAGGTTTCAGTAGTTGCTTATCCCAAGAGAAAGCCCTGGAGATTTGCCTCACCAGGTGTCAATTTCATAGAGACACCAAAGCAAACATTTGCTTAAGTGCAAAAAACCGTTGCTCAGTAAATAAGGTCATCGACCCAAGCTCTCCGTATTTGTCTTGCTAACCAAATTGTACAACTAAATACCATTCACAGCCAACATACATCAGATAGAGTTTAGGCCAGCAACATTATTTTATTGAGTAACGGTTTTTTACACTTGGGCAAACTTTATGCTTAAGCAGCTCCATAAAATTGGCCCTTGGTTGCAATAGCCACCGTACAATGTTCAAACCATGCATCCATGCAAACATATGCTGATGTACATGTGTGTACATGTGTACAATGCAGAGTTGTAACGAGTCACTGATTTTTGTGACTCGAGTCGAGTCATTTTACGGCAGAGAGTCGAGTCACCCAAAAATGCGACTCGAGTCGGACTCGAGTCGAGCCATTGTCTCGAGTCATTACAACTCTGCCTTACGTTGATGTATATTCAACCTGAATAGTCAGTCAGCGTCGTTTTGTATTCAACACGACCAGGGTTAGTGAGGGAACGCGCACGCAGCTCATGGAGTCGAGGTTGAGCGCGCGTTATTCGAAGCAACCCAGGGGAAACAACCCTAAAAGATGTTGGCAGCGCGTGCAGACGTACTTGCCTTGGGTGCGCACGCATCGCTGGTGATAAATGGAGATCAATGGTCTATGTCCAGTACATGTTTTTTTTTATTCTATGGCAAGACAGCGTTGGAACCGCGTGACGCGGCCTACCTGGTGACATTTTACAACGTACAAGAATATGAATAATGTCTGGGGTAAAGTGAAAGCTATCGATACACTTAATGATGTTCCTGACCTTGTAAATAGGTTGTTAAAGTGAGCGCTGTCGTGATTTATAGTTCTCAGACACAAGCCCACAAAACTGTGCCAGGCAAGGCAAAGTCGACTTACATATATCTCAACTTCAGCCCCCTGTATACAAAATAATAGTACGCCTGATCCCGGTTTGCCAAGTCACATTGATTGTTCATAAATTATAATGAAAATGTGTGGGTAGAAAGAGACATCCTACTGCTGAAGACGGCCGTTTTTAGTCTCGATTGGTATGGATTTGGCCAAAGGTGTCACCGAAGAAAGCCCTGGAGTCGAGGACATCACCAAATCACCGACCCCAAGATCCCTTTGCACAGGCATAGTGTCCACTGATGATGCCAACTCACCCGTCGAATCCCCAGCAAGAGCATCACAACAACAGGAGCTTCGTTCCAATGCACCGCAACAAGCTTTCGAACCAAAAGGAGCGAGTATCTCGAAATCATCGAGATCCAGAGAAAGTGGCATGGAAGATACCAATACTCTGACCAGGCGTGAGAAAGCTCAGCCCAAACTCATCCAAGTGCAGGAACAATTCCAGCAGACAGGTAGGGCTGTTGACCGTATGTGTCCTGCATTGTTACTTAATAATAAATAATACATTAAAATGCCGGATATTGTGCTTTCTAATCCTTATTTGGATTATTTATTCACGTAAAATTCGTCCTTTGCTGAAAACTGTGCACACGAGGTGCGAAACTGTTACGTCTGTGATAAACTGAGTTAGTCTTTTCCGTGAAAATGGAAAAAAAAGGGAAAAAAAAACTTCGGTGGGGTGAATTTGCTCTTCGTGTGTAAAACAATCCCTTGTCCCTTTGTAAAACTAAAAATGCCATTCAGATGATTTTTGACTGACAGAGATCACCGCGATTCGGCTGATTCAGCATATTTTGATAAAATAATTCCACAAAATGTCGGGATCAGATATCAAGATTGAAATGGGCAAAATCAAAATTTCAAAAATTTAAGTGATTTTAGGATAAATGCGTCTTTTGTGAAAAAAAGTTTGCCCACAGAAGACTTTCTTTTAAGCCCCCCCCCCCCAAAAAAAAACCGTCCAAAGGCTGGTCCGGGAGCATGTCACCGTATAGCATGTCGCCGGGAGCATGTTTGCCGTGCTTCGGCAAACTAATAAAAAACAATTTTTTATTCATTAAAGAAACAATCTCCAAAAGCTAACGAAACTGCTGGACCAACTAGATTCCTGCCTCTGTGTAATTCAAATGTGTTTTCGGTAGTGAGGTACGAACAAATAAGAGATTGTGTCGTATCCCCGGCTTCACCATGATGTACTACAGTTGGAAACCCTTGTTCAATAATAATGAAAGATTTTGCATGCCTAATTTCGGACCAGGAGGGAAGAAAGTTTGTCTCTTATCCAGCGGCGTATCCAGCTTTTGGTGTGTGTGAGTTTGTTTCTGCATTCAATTGGGGACCTTGAACAANGGTGTGTGTGTGGGGGGGATTCAAAAGAGAATGCGGCTTCGGGTTCATTCGACATGATGCTGGGGAGAAAAAAAATCGAAAGCCTTACTTGCGGTCCCGAAATTCTTCTTTTTATTTCATGGTGGTGTTTTCTTAGGGCTAATGTTTGATCAATGAATATTCCGATTACTTTATGAAGTATTATTTGCTTTAAAAAAATCCGGGGGGCGGAGTTTTTCCCCTTCCCTTCGCTGGATACGCCACTGCTCTTATCTGAAAGTCGTAAAACGCTTTGAATGTTATAGTCCGGAAGCAGACTATTCGGATCGGGCATTCTTTCACAGCACGTTTTCATTCGGTTGTCAATGTTGCGATGCTGTGCCCACTGCGGTATTTTTCGCTGTCAGAAGAGGGCGTCAAACGAAAAGTTTTTCCAGCCTGGATTGTCAAGATTCAAAGAGCGAAGTTCATGTACTGAAAATTTATTTACTTGAATCGAAGTCTTCAGTGACTGTGAAAATTTAAGGCGACGTGGCCTCAAGTTGTAGGAATGAACTTGAAGGGTGATTGTGCGTTTAACTCAAACGGCCTCGCCTTTGCTTTCGGTTAAGAGATTCCTTCCTCCGTGTACGGGTCACTCTTGGATCTGTGATTCTAACACAGAGTTTTTCGTAATGATAGAGCTCACCAGTGGTTCTTTAGTCTTCATTTTCGTGTCACCTTTTCTCTCCTGTTTTTGTTTACCCCAAATCTACCTTTAAAAATCCGAATCCTGATATTTGATATCACTAAGACTTGCAATCAAATAACCTCAAAATAGAGTTTGCTCTCTTTCCATTAATTGTACACGGGAATTGGACCCAAATGCCGTGAACTATGCACAGCTCTTGCCCCCTCAGAATTTTCTGAGACTAATAAAAGCTGGCCTCATCACAATAGCACTTTCAAATATTAAACGTTACTTCCAATGTGTAATAATTGTCTCAAGTGTATAATGGCATTCCATGAATAAAACATAACCCCTATGTCATTTCTGGAGCCAGCTCCTGACCAGAAGCTGGAGACCTTTTTGGCGTAATGAAAAGGTAGGCATATATATAATACAAGTATCTTATGCGAGTACCGTATCACTGCCATCAATGACTATCACAGAGGTGACGGGGGCATCCTCCACAGTGCCCTTTGGTTCCAAATCCCACCAAAAAGTCGAGTAAGTCCGTATATTGTGAATCCTTTTGAAAATGGTGTAACCAAGCAAAAATAATAAGAAGTAGAACAATTTTTAAACAAATCAATAATTCAATTCTGTTACATAATGCTACAACTTCAGGTATTTTACAGATTTGTTCATCTAAACTGATAGGATTAACCAAGTATGACGCGAGCAAGATATCTCTCGTAGCCGAACTGAAGCAAACGGACTCGTTCGGAAAGCCCTTGTCTGCCGTTCCATCTTCCGTCAAGGGCAGGTACCAGTCTATTGATGCAAAGGATGAAAGCTTGATGCCTATTGGCAGAGAGGATGATAACGGCCCAAGGTATTAACTTCAACAGAAGAACGACAATAGACATACAGTTTGTAGATATAATCCGCAGAAATATTTGCAAATTGTCCGAAAAGGGTGGTTTGGCGCCCGACACCACTGACTGTCCACATTGACTTGCTTCAAAACGAGAGGTGCAGAGTAAGGAAGCAACATGCAACGGGATGATTATCAAGAACAAAATCTCAGCTGATAAAAGCAAAGCAGGATAATAAATAACCAGGACAGTGAATAAAACTTATAAAAGCCTTGAATATTGTGCAGGTATTAAAAGAATGTTCCCGAATCAACTCTTACCAGCGCCAAAACCAGTAACTGTAGACCTATCATTTAACGTGAACATAAACATGGCCGGGTTTGCGAGGAGAAAACAAAAAGCTGACTATACGCATGTGACTGTTCTTACACATAGGCGAATGCAAGTTTTCCATATTCACATGCATCATTGTGAAACTTGCTTTAATAATATCACGTCAACTATACAACAACGTCCGTGATCATTCTGCACTACACGCAGAGTTCTCCAAAATAGCAAGGCCCCGAAGCTGCGTACAGCGGGGTGTCGTAACTTCTTCAATGAATCCGCCGCTCACTGCACATGCGCACAACCAATTAAGGTTCATCCGCAGCCATGATGAATGAATTAAATTATTTCATTTTCAAAGATGCAGTGACTCCACACACTTGCTCTTATTAGTCTGTAGTATTCACCATCGGCTTCTCCAAAAAATGTTTCCCCAAACTGCGGATTAGGTCACGCCAGTTGCAGGTTTCCAAACAATTTAGAACAATTAAGCAAGGCGTTCCAATTTCCAAATAAAACATGATTTTTTACATTAAATTTCTATTTTATCTTTGTCCAGTATCATTATTGACCAAGACTCTGCAGGTACCAGCGATTCCAAAACCAACCACCAGACGTCTCCATTGCAAGAACATCAGGACAAGGGAAAGGATTCCACTATGGGAGGTAACTCCTAGGTGTAAAAACTGTCAGAGCACTGTTGATGTTGTGGCGATCCTTTCAAGCCCCAAGACCCCAGTCTGAATTCAGTGAACCGCAGTAACAGCATTTCATTGTCACTATAGTAATCCTCTTATTGGCGTGAATGGTCTTTCCATTACATAACTGCAACTCAGCTCTAAAGCCACCTACTTGTTTCAAGTAAATAATTAATTTCCTAAGGTGCATTTTCTTAAATTCCCTCAGCACAATCCAAGGAAAGACAGCACGGATTTAAAGACAAGGTATGCATGTTGCGCTTATTCTTGATCAAAGAATACTAGTTCTCCCCATGCGAAAGTGCAAATCTCTATCATTGTTCTGTGAGACACTACCACTATACTTTTCATTTACTGGAATATGCCATAATTGGTCCGATCAATCTGGAAACTTTGAGATACCGGGCTCGTATAATTCCATGCGGCAAAGCTCTTTCTTGTTTCCTTCAGGCCCCTACAGCAGCAGCGTCAACTGATACAAGTGTTGCAGCTGAAGGCGGTGTTAAACGAGGTAATGCTCTTGTAACGATCCAAGACAAAAAGAACTGTACCCTAGGTTCTATTTAAAATAAAGGTTTTGCGTTCCGTAAGCTTTTTCGCCGTGGTCTAATTAGTTTAGCCGTATAAAATGCAGCCGAGTTGAGACAACATAACCGTCTCGTGTCTGGAAAACGGGATGTGTTCTGCAAGAGACTTCCCCCCCCACCCGAACTCCAATATTATAAAAAGGTCTTATGCTTAAAACCTGTGACCCAAAAGAACAAACATTGAAAAAAAAAGGGAGAAAACTGTCAAAAAAATGATACAGTTTCTCCTGGAGGAAAACTTCTAATCAGTCACTTGCTAAATTATTAAGAGATGAACGAAAACAAATCATCTATTCCAACGATGATACTAAAGTATTGACACCTTTGTATGTATCGAGTAGACTCCTTGGTTGCAACAGCAACCGTGGTCACCAACCTTATGAAGTGGCAGATGAAATCTAAGATGAAAGCTGGAGCCAAGTTACAGTCGATGGAGAAGGTACGTAGTCTCTTTAAAAGCAGTAATTATAGTAACTTGTACGAAAAGAACTTATTATTCAACAACTCTTTACACCAATAGAAATACAGTTGCATTATTCTAGAGTGGTCACACAGTAAAACACAGTTGTTTCATGCCTGTTTCACTCGAAATATTATTTTTTTGAAACAACAACTTTCCCCCCACATGCGTCATTTTGATTGAAGAGGTCTTTCACATATTTTGTTCTATAGTTTTGATGATTCATGCATGTTGCGTACCACAAATAACTGATGGAATCAAAACGTTGTACTGGCGTCAAATCAACACGACCCAAAGTAACCTAGCAACAAAAATCTTTCCCAAGAAGGCAGTCCCAGTCTGGCTCAACTTCACACGTTTACGCGTCAATTATTTCAACATCGTTCATCTCTCAGTATAAAGGGCATCTGGAGGTGATTCAGAGACGAAGTCGTCAGGAACAAGTGGAGCTACCCTTTCCAATCAGACTGTATATCCGAAAGGAAGTCTTGCCCATCATACATAACATCGTCAGAGGTAAAGAACAGGTGTACAAAAAAAAATAATGCACGTATTAAGGTATATGAGACCTGAGCTGGCAACAGAGGGCACAGTTTTACTAGCTTCCTCTGGTCGGAACTGCACTTCGCTGGTTCACGAACGAATGTAAGATGCACGCGTTACAGTCGAGATGCTACCAACAAAATAAACACTCCCGACCAACATAGCTCTTTTCAACCGATGAGGGGGTGCTTCTGCTCAAGACAAACCCAAAATACGGGTGGCATGTATGGTACATGTATATTGGTTTGTAAATGCACGCGTGCTTCTTAGGAAGTGTCATCCGCCAGACTGAAGTTGCATTTTCCGATGCGATGAGATATCACCGACAATGTTCTCGGGCGTGACAAGTCTAAGGTGACATCAATCACTCAATTATAAGTGATCGACGAACACTTCGGGACACTTAGCTAATCGTGTATATAGCTACCAGTCTTTGCGCGTATACGGTGCAAACTGAGTCGTCCATTTCCAAGCTGTCCAAAGTTGATCACTTTCAAATGTGGAGCTGGAAAAACGGAAGCACAAACTGCAGCAGAATATCCATTCTCGCTGTACGCTGATTGGACGTTACTCCAACGATACTCTGGCCTCTAAAACATGTACATGTACTACATGTATTAAGATTTCCTGAGAACAGCCATGGAGGTAAAACCAAGGAAGTCTATTACCTGTATGTGGGATATTAGCTCCAAAAACCTCCACAAATCAGTCATTAATACACTCCTGACACCCTGTATCAAGTACTGCGTGATTAATATTACCATCGCCAGGACACAGTGTCTTGATGTGTTTCCAACGATGCTCCTCTCTCAACAGAGTACAGATTGGCTCTGGGTCACGACCACAAGCTAACACGGGAAGCACTGGCCAAAGAGAGGGAGCTGGCCTCAAAGCTTACGGGTGATGAAATTTGCCTGTGACATTGACGAGTTGACCAAGCAAATTCCTGCAGAAAGCAGAACGACTTCTCTCAAATCAGTCTGGACCTCTGGGGTGAATCCTGGAATACGAGGGTCTTGTGTCGTTTCTCAGATCTTCATTTTTCTATAGATGAGACCCTTCTCATGAACGTTATAAGTCCTGAGAGATCAAGGTTTTTCGTATAGGCATTACTTCCTTTAAACCTTGTCACTGTAGTTTATCATAGCGGAACATGTCCATTTGCTGATAAAATGACTGAACGGAGAGGAATCCTAAGATGTATTTTAACCCTAACCCCCTAGGGTGTGTGCAAAATCATATTAAAATTGGAGGATTCACGACTGTTAGGGTTAAGGACTGATTTGTAAGGGGCATTACCGTTTGACTGAATTGTGGGGTCTCGACAGCAGGCCCTGTCCTTGGTGTGAAGGGCGAACCTTAAATTGATCATTATGCGCAGGTTCACTTGGCAAAGAAGAAAAGTCTGGAAGGGTAACTTCGGCCCAGAAACTAGGCACCAACTTTTTGGTTGTCGTCAAGTAACTCTGCCATTCTTGGGATTGGCTCCCCTTTACCATTTGCATCATGGGCTGTGCTTTTCAGAGAAAAGAAAACATGCAACGGTCGAGCAAATATTTCAGAGCAAAGACGTGACAAGTGAATGCAAAGACCTAACGGAACTGAATCCTCAGACTTTACTGGCAATGGGCTTAGTGCAGTTGGCATAATTTAGGCATCCACGCTCCGTACATGTACAACAAACAGACGTTTTGTTGGGACTGGTTTAAGTGTGCTGGTATGGATATGCCATTTTCTTCTGTCAAATTTATAACCCTAACACTCCTCAGTCCTCCAACAGGTGAAGGATTGAGGAGGGTTAGGGTTAATGATAGCAATTAGACTAAGAACAGATAAATTGTACGAGTATACAGTAGACAAAAATCCATAAGCATTTTTATTTTGCACTATTTGTTGAGTTACTGGGAATTTCTACTTCGACACAAAGTGATCTGGCTGCTTGCGTTTTGAACTGTCAAATAAACCAAGTTAAAGCAACCAGGTTTATTCTTTACATACAGAAAAAGAGGTTGAACATAGAAACTATACTCAAGCCGGAGTGGCATTTTTTCAGATCGAAAGCTCTTCTTATTGTTAATACATGACGCACTGTGCCATGATCACTCATCACTTAAGATTATGGCTTCAAACTAACGTCCACTAATCAAGGATACTGACAACTTGCACGGCCGTCAACGAAAGCTGGCATGGCTTGGTTAACCAAGGGCCAGTACGAGTATCCCATGTTTGGTGGCAGGTACAAATCCCACGGACTCGATTTCTTGATGTCAACCTACATGTGACAGTTCAATGTGACCAAATCAACACTGCCGACAAGAGAGTTCCCCAACGTCACGATCCACTTAGCGTTTCTGTTTTCCTTTCCACTGGTAAACCATTGTCTGTTGAGTTTCCTTCCACTTTAAGTTATAAAAATTTACATACAGGCACAAATACCATAGACAAAGATATTAAATAAGACGAAAATTATAATTTTTCTGTTAAGTGCATAAAACATATGACAGGTTAAAAATAAAGTTTAAACAAGTGGAAAGAATACATTGAAATCTTTAGACTTTGGTAACTTATCATGTTTATCCCAACGCTGATTCAAATCCCTCACCCCGCCAGGATGAGCTCAGTTACGTGTGACTGGTGCAAAGAGCATAAGATTAACTCTAGAGATATTTTGCAACGCCTAACCCAGTGTAAGATTCTCAGCTGCCAATTTTGGTGCTAATTGAAGGAGAAATATGCTGAAGATATTGCTCGGCATATTGTCGCTTAGCATTGCCTAGTGCACAATTCTCTTGTTTTCTTTGCAGGCAATGAATGGTTCAAAAAAATGAGGGTTTTTAAAACTTTTTTGGGGAGGCAGCAGTGAAAATATAAACAGAAATAAATGTGCTTTCTATTCGTTTTAATTTCGCATTTTTGGAAAAAACATTCAGGAACACACAGATTCAGGAAAAAGAATAAGTTCCTGAATTTCAGAAAATCTGAGACTGGTCCACTTGAAAATGCCATCAATTAATAAAAGGAGTCATGCAGTTTAGACCCTTGGCATTCTGTGTTGGAAGAAAACCATGTGCACAGAAGACGGGGCACCAAACAACTGATTATTACATGTACGCCTTAGCTTGCCTTCCACTCGCGGTTGTGCTCACAAATAAGACAAGATTACTGTGTACCTCCGCAGGCTTCAAGGTGCTTCAGTTTCACCTCTTTCAGTTGGTGTTCGGTGTTCACATCTCATCATCGTCCAAGTCCAGATCTTCCTCCGGGAAATCCCCCACTGTCACAAACTGCGGTTTGACAAAGCCACCATATTTGGGCCGACACTCAAAGTACCTCTTGCCTTGGACACTATAGCGGAAATAATATCACTATAAATAGAACAAATCCCCCACAATGAGTTTCTGTTTTTAAGATTTCATCAAAGCCATGTTAACCATTTGAAATGGTACATTTACAACCTCCTCACTTTTACATTTGAAGATATATTCTTTTATATTGGAATGTAAAATCATTTACATTTGAATACAGAATCTTTTACATTTGAATACAACATAGATGTACATTTACTCAGTGAATCAACTGACCTTCCGTCATTCTTCCCTAGTGGTTCATCATACTTGACACCAATCCAGAACCCTGGCTTGAAATCTGTTTTCCCTGCATCCAACAAAAAGACTTCATTCTCACATTTGCGCAGTGTTAAAGACAAACATGAAATAAAATTGGAATTTATTCGATGTGACAATACCAGCAAATTACCCAACACTGCAAACCAAGGGGAAAATGTTGAGATTTTCACACTAAACAATAGTCCTTTTTGAACAAGACCTCATCAATTTTCAGACATATACAATTTATTCTGTAATTTTTTGTTAGTAGGTAACCATGAGTTTCTTTTTGATGCCTCACTCAATGCATACTCATGATTAACAGCATCTGACCTGACACTGTTTGCAAGTTAGTCTCGCCTCTTTGGAAACCCAGTGGGATAATGTATATTGAGTTTTGTCTCAGATTTTGCCTGTCCTGCATCTATTTTGTATTTGACAATTTCACAACCTGCACTGACATAAATCTACTGTGATAGGTCATTACTGACATCAAAGTTTGAGTTTGAGTCAAGCTTGATTGATAATTACATGTGCATTTGTCAACCACAGTTCAATTAGTGCACAGGTTACCGGGGAAAATGGACCAGTGCTTGACAAAAGGCTGTCGCTCAATCTTGCCACTCACTTATTGCCAATTTCTCTGATTTGCCATTTGCTTAATTAATAGTAACCATTACAGGGTGACACTGCTCATTAGCTAAATCATGAACATGAAGCTACTCAATTTAAGTAGCAAGGATGTCCGCAAACGTGTTCATAAGTGCTTGATGTGGGCCACGTTGAGCATCTGCACCTTATTTCTGTTGGGGCACAACTTGTGCGTGTGCCGTGTGAACATTGGAAACCGTTTGAAATCAACGCACCTGTTACCTTTATCTTTACACACATTATCTTCACTTGCCTCTCTCCACCCAGGGATACTATAAATGTACACCTGTGAGGGTGGAGGTCATTTGTGATTGATTAACCTGGTAACATCTGAAATGGTTGTATGAATGCTTGAATACACCCAGGGAGGTGAGATGGCTTATGGGATTTGTCTTTGGGTCCAGTGAGCAGGGATATGCTGTCAAGTGCAACGAGAGACCGGCAGGCTTTGGAATGCACTACACAGATACATCATATTATTATCATTAACTCACCAACAAACATGACTGTCCCTCTCTTGACAGGTGGGGCACTGGGCATGTTGACCTCACACCTGGCCCCAACTTCGATTGCTCCCGCTATCCTCTCTTCCTCTGCTTCCTTGGCCTCCTTAAGGGCTGCCTGCTTGGAAGCCTCCTCAGGGTCGACTTCCTTGAACTGGCCGATTTTGTGCTTCTTCTTGAAGGCCAGAACGGAATCTAAGAGCCAGGTCCATGCATAATCATCACACAAGTACAAGTCATGCAAATGAATGACCAGGAAATCGTTTCAATACAAGTGAGGCACAACCGTGAGGTTGCCACAGAATGGTCATTTTTTATACAGCATTGTGGGAAATGGTTGACAAATGCTATTAGTTAGCTGACCGCCAGAGCTTAGAGTATACCCAATTTTGGGGGGTCCGGGAAGAAGATTCTTGATTCAAGAGAGCAGATTTACCTAATTCTTTCTTCTCTCTTTGGTATGGAATGTCCGAATCTATAAAAATTCCCCCAAGTTGTTTACTGACATACATGTATATGTCTATGCTAATTGCTGAAATGCAAATTGTAACAAAACAGCCATGCTTTTACCACCACCAACTTGAAAAAATGGCTGAAGCAACCTCTTGGTGGCCCACTGTATGTGAATCACCCCATACAAAAACTATTTTTATGACTGAATGAAAAACCTGGACTAACAATGAATTTGATGTTGATAAAAAGTATGTTCGCCTCTTTCCAGACGGAGCTGATGTTGAAAATGTCAACTGTCTCCTTAATGCCAGAATTTTAGTATTCAGGCAATTCAGTCTGAAGTTCTTAGCTGCAAACCCCTCAACAAGTCCCTCCATTAACCCTATCAGCCCAAGGGTTACTGGACCTAACCTTCCCCGTTCACACAAACTTAAACACCAATATGGGACTTTGTGCACAGAGGCTGTTGGGCTTTGTTTTTCTGAGGTATGCCAAACCCAATGCAAAAGCCAGCTGTCTGGGAATACCAGACCTATCCCCACAGAACTGAACACTTTACTACTGTTTAATTCTGTGTGGTAGGGGTAGGTTAAGGTTAAAGAAAAGTCACAAAAAGCAAGGTGAACAATGAAGGAATGCTTCTCTTCATTCATCTGAACAGCTCACGATGTGACGTGCAACTAGATGGCTTGTGCGAGACTTGTGATGGATTTGAAATGGACCCAACTATGAATGCCAATGCACAACAACTTCTGAACAGAGACACAACCAGTGTAAAAAAGGCTCGAATTCCTTTCAGCAAGGACACATGCCACACCACTGCACAAGGACAGATGTAAAGAAGATCCCACAAGAAGATTTCGATCTCACCTAAACAAAAGCAATCATTAATACACTGGTAAATTTTATGTTCCCACTCACGGAAGTTACTCAATCAAGTCAATGCTCCTGTTTTTCTCGCCCATTGCACTAACCAGTTCTTTTGGCGTAATCTTCATCTGTGATCTCATACTTTTCAACTTTGGAGAGATCTTCAAATTCCCCTCGTAACCTGTTTGGATCGCTGTCTTGCACCTAACATGGAAATGGTGAAAGTTAATTAACATAAGTGTACATGTACACTGTTGTGCTTTGAAGGCATTTAGTTCTCAAGATTTTGTTACTTCTTTATTCCCATCTGTAGCAGTGGTTTTCGGCTACGTTGGGTTTGACTAGGCTGAGCTTAGCAAGGTTAGGAAGGATAGAATTGGCCTGTTTGCTGCTAAATGCGAAAGGCTTTGTTTAGGTGAGCCTAGGTTTACATTTCTTTTTTGTGTGTTCATTTAATCTGGCCTGACAGAACCAAGGATTATCCAATTCTCACCTTCATGCAAAGAGGGATACATGGACAAAATGGGTCAGATTTGTGTCAGGCTGGGTTAAGTTGTAATGGAAAGAATTCAGAGGAGATTTTGACTGGATTTCTTTTTCGGGGGGAGGGGGGAGGGGGCTCGGTTTACAAGTGAACTTGTAATTGTCCAGTAATTTTAACTACTTACATGGATCCTCATGCCGTCTTCCACGGGATAGAAACCTAACATTTTGTCATTGTCGTTCATAACCACCACTAGCTGACCCTCTTTGTTGAAGAGTTGGAGTTCCATGGCTGAGGACGCTGAGCCAGTCACCAGCTCCAACTTGCTCTGGGGTTACATGCCAGACAAAGGAACAAGCCACAAGATCATTAGACATTCATGGACAAAGTCAGCTGAGAGCATGATTGGGGAACTGGTCAAGTGCTTTCTGTACAATATAATACCACTTGAAAGAGTCTGGTCCAAGTATCTTGCAAAATCTCACCATCACTCGCAGGATGCCCGATAGTGTTACAAAAAACAGGTACCCAGTGTTCTCCACAGGCTGTTTCAGCAGGGCGGACCACCCTGCCAAAATTTTGGGCCGCCCCGCTAAAATTTTGCCGCCCTGCTAAAATTTGTGCTTCCCCACTATTTTTGAGTAGTGTATTTTTCCCCAAATGTCTACTTTCTCAAGATTTTAATAAAAAAGACGTTTACTGCAGTTTGTGGATTGTGTTAGAGTTTACCGCAGACGCTTATGGTATACTGACAACGGTGATTGTTGGCTGCCTACCGTTATGCATAGTCAACCTCGTGTCCCGAAAAACCATCGCATATATTTTGTACATGTACACGTACATGTTATTGCGCAGGCGTGTACATGTACATGCAGTGCATGTGACTGATAACCGCGGCTCAACATTGCTTTGCGAAGTGTGCGCGAGCACCAGTGGAAGGACCGTGCTATGCCTGAGCGGCCTCAACGCTCTGCTCTGATGGAGGGGTTGCTTCATTTTTATGACCTGAGCTGGAAATTGTAAAGTTATCTTTGCCTGAACATATTTCCTTTATCCTTTTTTATTCAAGGGCGCATTTTGAGGCTTGTTTTTGCTCTACCTTTTCACAGTCATCTGATCATTGAGAAAACCGCATGCTCTGCTCATCTCAAGCATGTCTTGAGTCACTAACATGAGGTTCTGCTAAAAATGCTCCAGAAATTAAAATAATTTTGTCATCAAATCTTTCGATGAAGAAATTCCTCTTGAAGAATATCATGACCGATATTTCATGTTGTAAATGCAATCAGATTTGGGGCCAAATTAAAGACGAAAGTGGACTGGAAATTGCACCAGAATACACCACAGAGCATCTAGAATCCAAAATTGTCCGGGGCCCTTAAGCAGACCCCGGACCCCACACCGTAAGGGCTTTGCGCTCGTAATTTTGTCTGCTGCCCTGCCAAAATTTTTGGCCGAGGAGAACACTGGGTACCTGGTTAAAAAAAAAAGAATGTATTTACACCTTTGATGCAACTTGACCATGTTGAACTGACATGATTGCTAGTCAGGCTAGTGCTACCACCATGCTGTGCCGTCAATGACATAACGGTAATACTACACACAGGAAAACACCAAAAAAATAAAACACCACAAAATACCAGAAAACACAGAAATAATGCCGGCAAACACAGGAAAAATACCGGAAAATGACAGTAAAAAAGGGAAAATACCAGATCTGCAGCATGTGATGTTTTGCACATTCACTGTTTTGTGGGTAGGCTACTCAAATGCTGGGGACGTACGATCAATCAGTTATCACTGGTATTTAGTGGCAAGTAGTATCCAACATTGTAGCGTCCAGTCAGAACTATGGGGTTCATCGGCGAAGATGAACCCACACACCGCTCTGGAGCTAGGCATCCATGTAGGGCTGCTATACTTTAATCAGGAATAGTCAGTTTGTCTTACGGATCCATATAGGCCAAGCGCCAATTCTATAGGCCTAGGGCCTACTAGTTTTATAGCTTTGGTATTATTCTGATGTTTTCTGGTTATTTGGAGTGTTTTCCAGGGAAAGGGTTCCAACTTCCATTTACGGACAACACTAAGTTTCCCTTAAAATGTTATAACAGATGTCAGAAAGTTATAACATGTCCTATAAAGTGAAATTTAGCAAAGAAAATTCTCATACGCCCTACTATTGTTTGTGCACAGGGCATCACACTCTGTTGCCCCATGGAGGTCTCCACGGTTGTCCGTAGCTAGGCTTATATGAGTACATGTACATGTAGGCCTAAGCCTACATCGAACTCTTTCGTTTTCTGGACATATAGTTGTTTTTGGTGTTGATTCTTTGGTGGGTGGCAGTTTTTCCTGGTGTTTTCTGTATTTTCCGGTAGATTTTACTGTCCAGGTAGGCCTATTTCTCCCAAGTTTACTGAAATTCTGGTGTTTTCTGGTACGTTTTCCAGCAAGGTGTTTTGTTTACTGTCAGACGGGGTTTTCCGCGGAATTCCGGTAGGGCCTATACTTAGTCAATTTTAACTCACCTTCAGTGCCCCGATAGTTACATCCTTTTGAAATCGCTTCTCCGATGGGAAATTGTTAAGAGTGCTTGTGATTTGTAAATTGACATAGCTTGAGGTAACAACAGAAAACTCTTGGGCCATTTTTCTCGCGAAATGAACACATGAGTCTGTTTCCAGTACAGTAGCGCTCGCACAGTGTCTCTTTCGCGGGTCACATCGCGACACTTGATACTATGCTAGTTTACCATTAGAAATATGTTAACGAAGTAGGGGACTAGTTTACCATTAGAAATATGTTAACGAAGTAGGGGACCCGACCATTGCGAAGAGGACCAGCAGAGCACAGTCAAAAGGTGGCGCCATTTCAAACAACGGACGGACATACCCACAGACACTGAGTAAATCGAGCCCCATTTTACCCTGTGTAGACAGTGATTAATCCCCATACCCAAAGATGATTAACATGTCTGTTATTTTCCTTTCAATTTTTTGGCGGGTTGACCAATGACTTCTTTGAAAAATTCTCATTCAAGCCCCCCTAAGGAAGGATAGCCAATTTCCTAAACTGGTTGGCTCCGAAATCGATCAGAATGAGAAGCCCTAATTCCAGGCCAGAGGTTTAGTCAAATACCTCCTCAATCCCCCAATTTTATGGCTCTCACAGCTCTCTAATAAAGAATAATTTGGGTGAATAACTTTTATCAATGAGCTCGGCGGACAGTTTGTTTATGTGGGTACACCCAAAAGATATAATTGAAATCATGCGCACCAACTCAACCCGTCTGAGTTTTGCCGCCCGTTTTTCTCCAACGTGCGATCCGTGCGAACTGGCAGGAAGCTATCGTCTGTTACATAGACCATGTGTCAGGGACCACCGGGACCAAAATCGTGACACGATATATGCGTTGGACTTTCGGTTATTGGGTTCTTGCATTCCTGAATAATAGTACCACGAATATCTATCCCGAATAAAAATTCTTGATGGTATCGGCAGAAATTAGCAGCAACGATTCGCTGTTGTAAAGAATAAGATTAAAACCACAAAAAGAGAACCAAACACGAATTGAAAGCTGACTCAGACTGAGTTCAGCTGAATGATTTCAATTTAGTGTAGAATCTAACCAGATTGCAGCGATTTTGTCAAAAATAAATGAATAACTTTAGAATCATCTAGAACTATTCACAACTATGCCTTTTTCATTAGAATTTAATACGAACAAACGTGAAATAAGTATTTAAAAAAATAATTGAAATTTTTCTCAGACCATACCCCATCGACACTCGGTGGGGGCCCTTCTCGTTTTCTAGTAACGATCTTTCACCGATTACCAGGATCAGCTTCAGCTGTATATATGGCCACAAATTACCAATGATTTTTAAGCTGAATCGCAGCGAATGCTATCTTTTGAATAAATCACCTGCCTCAGGATGATTTTGGTAGTTCAGTGAAAGATTTTCCTACATGTATTCGGGATAGACGGGGTTTATTCGTGGCAATATGATACAGGAATGGGCTGGACTATATGGTTGAGCAAGGAGACGTGCAGCAAATGATTGTCTCGGTGACCACCTGTCATTCATGCTTGCTTATAAAGTGAATCCCAGATTCCTGGACACAAAGGAAAGCTTAACTGGTGGTCCGACTTGCTGTTGTGCATCTTGGACCACTGACGCGGAAATGCAGGGCACTGCTGTTACCTGAAAAGAATTGCTTGAGGTCAGGAGCAAAGCCCAATTGTGTTATTGATAATCAGCTATAGAATATGACGTAACGCCATGTTGGGCGTTTTCGCTACAGCGTGACTTCGAATCTTTTCAGACGGAAGCGAGCCAGGATCCTTCAGTACTGCTAACGAGACCTGTAAAATCTAAGGGAATGTGTATTTTGTTCTATAAGATGCCCTTTCCACAGGCTTGAAACTTCCACTGGAGCCATCTGTGTCATCGAGTGCTGACGATTATGACGTACCACATTGAGCTGGATTGCAACAAACTTTCATTTTAGAGGTACTGTTTGCCGTACACAGTTTTAAGAATAGCAAGGCACAATGAAATCGAGTGCAAACAAAATTTCTTAGGACATCCTTGTGGACTTTGAGGCACATGGGAGGGTTGTGGTTAAAAACTGGCATTTGGCACAATTAAGGATTCATCAAAGGGAGGTGTCGCTAATTTTTATCTGTATCATTACACTCATTAATTTGTGCATATAGGGAGTCAATCAATGTTTGTGCATGGATTCTTTTACTATAGAAACGATGTCTCCCAAATTGTAGCCTACTATAGGTGCTTACCATATTTTGTCTCATTGATATTGTTTTCTTCTATAAACATATAACATAAAAGGCACCAAAATCTGAAGTTGGATATTCTCGACTCACACAAGATTTACTTTTATTGGAAACCTAACTTTGTGAAAACCAAGATTTTATTTTGTTGAAAAAGAAATTCAAAGATCTCGCAGCATCTCATCCGAACGACACATGAATGGCAGGCTAAATAAGACTTCAGACATGCCAACACATTCACCGCAACGGGATATCAATACACCACAGCAATCATAGAGGGAATGAAAGTTTAAGAAATGGACGTTGAATGACCTTGCTGCCATTGCTGTAGACTGGACTGATCTTTAATTTCTGGTGATACAGTGTTTCATTCGTTGTCCCATTAGCTCATTACTCATGAGTAGGGGCCGGCCAAAACTAGCTCTGCAAAAATGATCCTTGGGCTTATATGTGACTAATTGATTTTAAGTGATGCCCACGGATAGACAGGCTTCTTAATATGGATTAAATTTGTGTATTTTCGACTTCTGTTATACATTCTATTCCTGGGATACAGTCAACTTTAGAACATCTAAGAATAACTCACGAAAAAGCTTAAACAAAATGAAAAGAGTAGCTCGTGGTACCCCCCTCTAAGAAGGCAATAAACACTCCCCCTCCCCCCGTTAAAGAGCAGGCACGAATATGAATAAAATCGTTTATCTAAAAAAACTGAGACAGTCAGAATGTGCAAATACAAGAATAATGGAAAATGAAAAACATTGGGCAAATAGCATCCAGTTAGACATCAAAAACCAATAAAAATTATAATGGAAGAGAGCTCATCAGAAACATCCAAAATAAAATAAATTGGTTGGGGATACATTATCCGTTGGTTACTGCATTGTCAGTTGTAACAAGCCCCCTTTACAGTCAATTCAAAACCATAATAATCTCACTTCATGCTCACTTTTCTCTTATCTAGTTCCCGTGTCTCCAGCAAAACGCGGGAAATGTATTCTCTAGGCTGGATTTTCCTGGCTTTTGTCTTAACGGCAGTTGCCACGGGACAAGGTAAGACATTTCACAATAAATATTGCAAGATTTAAAAAAAAATGGGACGAGTGGCGAGATTGAGGCGTTATGTAACTATAGTGCGATAGTGACTGAACATTCGGTACCACAGAATATAGTGTGCTTGACAGAACATGCTCGTTAAAAGCAATTACATGTGTGCTTTAACTGAGGTGAAAATAAAAAGCGAACATCTACATTTTCTCGAAGAGACACATTCATGTGGATTGTGAAGAACGCGTTTTGAGATAATAGCAAGAGATGTCTCCCCTATTCTAAAACTGAAAAAACTAAGGTACCCTTCAAAAGATTCTTTCAAAAGTTAACCATTGCATGAACCTAGTAATTAGAATGAATACAGTTGTTACTTAGCCAGAATTAATTTTAAAAAAGTGAGTTTCTTCTTTTTCCTATATTTCAACTGTCCCTTCCGTTCAATGTTTTATTCCATACTACTAGGGAGGGTGCGCGCGCATGCTTACACGCGCACAGCCATTCATGTATTCCAAGATGTGTATCTCTTCGTGAAAACGAAAATCTCAGTTGACCGGGTTGCCTTATTACCGGGCAGTACGTTTTATCACTGGTGTATCCACGTGGGGGGGGGTGGATACTGAACAAGGCTAACAAAAACTTGCCCCCCAAAACCACACCCCTCAAAGCTGGTGCCCCCCCCATAAGATGCTGGTGCCCCTTTGTGCCTCCCCACCATTAAAATCCTTGCTACGCCACTGCGTTTTATACCATACAGCTACACAATAATAAAAACCTCTCTGTTTTGAACGTATTCGTGGGGCAGGCATGTTTGAATCCTTTCATAAACGCAAAATGCAGATGTCTGCCCCTAGCATCAATAATGCCAGAATTTTTTTACCTTTGAGAAAGATTCTGCTCGGATCAAAACGTCAGGCCCTGCATATTTTGAGATTTTTTTGACATTAGTAATATTTTGCTCGTGGAAAAATGTCAAAATGGTGAAGTAAAAAATAGTGAAAGAAATCAAGATCAAAAACAATGGTATTTTTGGTATTCCCGTCTTTTCGTGAAAACAGTGACATTCTTTCTGTTCACTGCCTGTTTAAGGCTCTGAAAATTAAGTCTGCGACTTATATTCGGCCAGTACAGTGAAAGTCATCATAAATATTCTGGCATGTTTTAAGTATGGAAAGGACGGTGTGTAGATAGCTTTAAGACGAACTGTTGTACATTAATGGGCGTCGATCTCGTTCGGGGGACGGTCTCAAAAGGGGTCAGTTAATGGGCAAAATGAAACGGACCCACGTATGAAGGTGGCAAATTTGGCCCCAAACCGAAACTTTAGAGCAGAACTGATGACTTCTTAAAAACACAGAATTATGTCACATATTGAAAAACACTGCCTAAACCGAAGCAAACTCGGGATGGGCACTTTAGGAAATGATTAGATTGAAAAAAGATGTCAAAATAATTTTTGAGCATTTTTCCCGAGCGGGAAATAGAAAATCGGATTGACGTTCACCAAATATTCACTCTGCCCCAATGATCAAATAAGAGGTAACGGTCGTTTCTTGAACAATTTTGAAACTTTTCAGTATGTGAGGTCAGCACGAACTGGCATTATCTCATTTTAAACCCAGATATCCCCACCCCCTCTCTACGTCTCTCTTTTAACAAACTTTCTTGGTCTCACCATCTCTGTGTATTTGTTTTAATTGGGGCCGGGAAAGCCCAAATGCTTCAGGCACACTTTGTGCCATCGAGAAACTATCCGCAGGGAATAGGAAGCAGTATGGGGCAATTACCCCCGTGAGAATTCTTTAGCGTCTTGCCCCTTACGAGAGGCTGGCTTGTGGAAACTTCCCCCCCCCCCCGGAACGTGAGCCATACTGATCGACTATCGCTCGATATGATGCTTACTCGTGATTTTGTCTCTTTCGTAATCTTATGCTGACCTTATTTTTTTGGAACTTAATTCCAACAGAATTCAATTGCACCTTTGAGGGCAGCAATTTATGTGGTTGGACACAATCAACTATTGATAGCTACGACTTGGTGCTAGACTCTAGGGGAACATCGACTGACAATACAGGTCCAAGATACGATCATACAATCGGTGGTAAGTTAGTAAGCTATGGCTGTGCTTGCCCCCTTTTTGTATTTTTGTGTGTGTTTTTTTTAGGCAATAGCTTCTGGCTACACGTAGCTACACGTGAACAGTTCATTACATATAAATAATCCACAAAATACCCAATGTATGTTTCCCTTGTATTCCAAAGGACTATTTGAACTTAGCAAAATCCCTGTCAAGTGGAAATGTGCTGAAATTTCGCCCATTCCTAAAGTTAAAAACCCAACTGTTAGTAATCTCAGGACAATAGCCCTCACCAGCTGGTTTGCAAAAATTGCTGAAACCTTTATAGCAAAATGGTTGTTAGAAGATCTGTCTGGAAAGATTGATGTTAACCAGTTTGGCAATCAACGTAAACTGTCTACCTGTCACTATTTAATAAAAATGCTTCATCAACTGTATACTAATGCTGATAATCCCAAGTCGCTGTCAACCATTGTGCTTACTGATTTTTCCAAAGCATTTGATCGAATTAATTATAACATCCTAATAACTAAGTTGGTCAAACTTGAAGTACGACCTTTCATTGTCTCTTGGATCATCAACTTTCTTGAAAATCGTCAGCAACGAAGTACAATGGCAAATACTCTACTTGGAAAGGAATTCACAGTGGGGTCCCCCAAGGTACCAAACTAGGCCCTATTTTGTTTCTTGTCATGATTAATGATGCTTGTAATGACGACTGTATTTCATATTATGAATATGTTGACGACTTAACCTTTGTTGGAAGTCGTAAATGTGTTCAAACCTCAAGTATGCAACAATTCTCCGTAAATAACCTACACTTTTATTGGGCAGCAAATAGTTACATGAAGTTGGATGCTACGAAGTGCCGTTCTATGACGGTTTCATTTGCCAAGAACATAGATGAAGTTGCTCCTTTGTGTATAAATAATATACCTCTTCAAAATGGTAAGGTTGTCAAAATGTTAGGTGTGATCATTCAAGATGATTTAAAATGGGAAAGTCATGTGAGCGAAGTAATAAAAAAAGCAACAGAAAGTTATACATGCTCCGCTTCTTACGTGCATATAATATTCCTGTTTGCGATCTTTTAGTTATCTATAAAGGTTACATTAGACCTATCTTGGACTACTTTGTTCCCGTGTTTAATAGTAATCTTACCCAAGAACAAGTGTATAGGTTAGAAGTTATTCAAAAAACGGGTTTGCAAAATCATACTTGCTAAAGATTATACAAGCTATGACAATGCGTTAAACTTATGCAACCTTGAAACACTACCAGAACGACGACAGAAAATCTCCTACGATTTCGCTCGATCAATTGAATCCCATAATGTGTGTAAAGGTTGGTTACCATCTCAAAAAAATAATCTTTTAACTTAAGATTTGCTCAGAAATATGAACAGTATAAGTCTCGCACAAAACGCTTTTCAAATATTGCTCTCCCACAAATTGTCAACATCTTAAACTCTTTATAATTTTTATTTCCCCCCTTTTTACTGGTATTTTATAATTTATTCTCTATCTTGCATACATTTTTTAAATACATTTGCTGCTATAATTCTTTACCTTCTACATATATCTTAAAATATTTCTTAATTAGTTGAACTCATTAATAATTTCAATAATAATTTTCATAGCACTCGTAGTTTTTTAATAAATGTTCACATGTACAATTCCAGTTTTTACTGCCATACATGTCTGTTAATAAACCATTCTTAAATTGAATCGAATTGTGAACTGAAATCCTGTTTTGAGGATATCAAGTATTCTTACAAATAGAAAACGCTGCAGAGTAACTGCTTCATAAATTATTGTTTCCCTTGTACGTAAAAAGGGAATATTTTATGATAAATATACTTAAATTCTCCCCTGAAAAAAATTGTGCAATATAAAGACATGAAGACTTAGTAAACTATTATGATCTCGGAATAACGGTTAAGTGCTATTGGTCAGACTGAATAAATGGAACGTGTCATATTTGCGTTAACTTGACCTACCATCACATGGGGTAACTAACTTTGGGCCATTTTTTACATGTATGTTATCATTTCTTCTCAGTTAAAGACCATTCAATTTCCCTTCTTTTCAAAGCATTGTGATACTCATCTAAACTTCGATGCTGACAAAAAAGGGAATTTCAAAATTTATTGGTGTCTTAGGGCTTAAAAAAGGGGTGACCAAAGTTACCCTAGGTTTGGGGCAACATTGACCCTTTTGATTTCGGTGTTTATCAAAATGGGGCGTGAAAATCAAAAGAAAAATGGTTACCATGGTTACCACAAACAACGAAAATGTTAAATAATGAATAATTATGATATTTCTGAATAACATGGTACTAAATTCGTCAACATCCACTGTGCGCTTGAGAGAATAACAACGTTTGAAACCCTCTAGTGGTTATCTGACCAAAGGTACCCCATGTTACGGTATTTCATTGGCGGCGAAGAGTGGAGGCTGGGGTAATGGAGAACTCCCCCGACAAAAAAACATGAGAGGGGATGAAAATCACCTCGAAAATTACCGACGGTAAAAGTTAAACCATAAATTCTATCAATAACCTTAATTCTGTGAAATCTTGCTTTCATTGTAGAAAGTAATGATCTATCGCCAATTTTTATGCATATATGCAAAAACACAACACACACAGTTCTGTACCAAGACGTGTGGCTCTTTTGAGATTTTTCAAGTGATTGGAAGCCGTCTGCACTTTGAAATCGGTACAACCACCTCTCTAGTAATATTGTGTNCCGACTGACAATACAGGTCCAAGATACGATCATACGATCGGTGGTAAGTTAGTAAGCTATGGCTGTGCTTGCCCCCTTTTTGTGTTTTTTCGGTGTTCTTATTTTTTTAGGTCATAGCTTCTGGCGACACGTAGCTACACGTGAACAGTTCATTGCATATAAATAATCCACAAAATACCCAATGTATGTTTCCCTTGTATTCCAAAGGACTATTTGAACTTGGCAAAGTCCCTGTCAAGTGGAAATGTGCTGAACTTTCGTTCATTCCTAAAGTTAAAAACCGAACTGTTAGTAATTTCAGGTCAATAACCTTAATTCTGTGAAATCTTGCTTTCATTGTAGAAAGTAACGATCTGTCGCAAATTTTTATGCATATATGCAAAAACACAACACACGCAGTTCTGTACCAAGACGTGTGGCTCTTTTGAGACTTTTCAAGTGATTTGAAGCAGTCTGCACTTTGAAACATTTTGCCTCCACCACCGTCTCAAGATCTGAAGATGTCACTTTATGGATGATTAAAAGGGCCACGTGCAATTTTTTGTCCGACTTACTATTTCTCCGCGGTCAGTCAGTTCTTTGGCTCTCATCGCCCTGCTACTTGCGCGTCGCAGTTTCAAATTGATATCCCGGCGCAGCAAATATAGTTCAGTGCGTCATCGTTTTCAAGTGTAGGCCTCTGCTGGGGGATGCAATGAGATTGAATTTGTAGAATTGCCTCGAACAAAAGAAGATTTTGCTTTTCAGTAAAGCTTGGTTTTCGAGACCAAAGAGAACAAAAGAAGAGAAATCTCATATCGGGGCGCGAAGACTACTTGGTAATTCTCTCCTACTTTTCCAAATGCCAACTGGAAGCATGCGAAATTGGACATACCCAGCAAGATACGAGACGGAGGGTGGCCTCCATACATGTTCAATCCTACACCCTAGAATACTGTTACCTAAAACCCCCCATGTCTGTAAAGAATTCCGATCAAACAATGACCAACACAAAGGGGGACGGTGCTCTCCATCCCATATCTTGCATCATATGAAATTTGAAGTTATCATCTTTGTTTTTGTCTGAAGATAGGTAGCTTGAACGCCAGGCTTGGTTTTATTGTGCAGTACTTTCATGGAGTCCCCCTTGCAAGGTGGAGAGGAGCAGATTTAACCTTTGCATATATTGCTTTAAATTGCAGACACTTCAGGAACCTACTTATACCGAGAGGCTTCCGACAGAAACAATGGTCCGGACGCAGTTTTACTGAGTCCAGAAGTGGCTTACATTATGGACCAGGTGTACTGCTTTATGTTCTGGTACAACATGTTTGGAAAAGGCACAGGTGAGTTGCGTCATCTGACGTCATGAATATTATTGTATTTCTTTCGAGCTATGGTACATCACGGAGGAATAAGAACATCCGCAACATCAGTTCCTTTGACAAATTTAGGGGTGGACTGAAAACTTATCTGTTCTCTTCACATTAGCTAATGGTTGCTTATGTTCTGGAGTTGTCCTTGTTGTTCGTGGGTCGGCTGCTCGAACGTCGGAAACAAACAATCGGTTATTGCTGGTAGTTAGTGACAAGCAACATGCAACTACATTATTCGAGAGTTAATATTTGGATGGGCTGAATTCTTTTCTATTTAAACAGGAACATTCATTTCTGTGTTACGGAAAACAATTAATGTTAATTTGCAAAACTTCCCATTGTCTGTGGCCTTGGAAGCCATCTCTTTACTTTTTGCAGCTGTTCAAAAATCAAAATCTCACGAGTTTTTCCGTGTGTTCCTGTAAAACCCTGACGAGGAGGTGTTGTGTGATCCTGTTCCGAGCACAGTGTTCTTGAGTCGTGTTCCCGCAGTTCGAGCGCGAGAACAAGAAACCTGTGTCAAGAAGAGGCCGCCCGAACTCGACCTGTTTGCACATGTGGGCATAACCGGCTGTTGGTACGCCGCGCTCTTTGACTTGCGTCCATGACAACCTCGTTTTGGAGTACGATTTCGTTGCCATAATGCGTTGCACTACTAGTGAAAGAACGCTCGCGGTTGCTTCCGTGGTGAATGACCATTTTCCAATTCTCGACTTAGTCTCAGCGGAGGCTTCAGCTGTTTTTATCAACCTGACTTTGAAGCTGTAAGTGCAATAGTAAGTGTGATAGTGCCACAAAAGATGCAAAAGAGCCAAGCATTGTAGTACTTTAATTTAATTTAAACGCTTCAGGCCCACAAGCAGGAATTGGTCCTTCTTTTTGTCCCCCCAAATCAAGAATATTCTTCTTTTGTTAATTTCCAAAGTGACACCAACACTCAGTTCAAGAAGTTTGCATTTTCATTTTCTGATTCGTGGCTCTGGAGGTTTCTTTGAAAGTTTATGGGAGAAAGTCCAGAACTGTACGGCCTGATTCCTACCTCTTGAGACGACTACATTGGCACAGAACCAGACTAAGTTCGGGCGCGAACTTAATACAAGTAATAGTTAGGCCAGTCAGTTGCTTTTTAACAATGCGCATGCGCTATTAAGTTACACTCGAACGATCCCAGTCGGTCTTTTTTAAAAATCTCATTGTTACTCAAATTTCAGCGTAGGCTCCCATTCTCGTAGCATACAAGGTCACTGAAATCTCGTTGTATAATCATCTGAACGGTTCCCTCTGTAATGATATGTTATTAGTAACCAGCGGTGCGACCATACCCCTGGGCATGGTACAAAATGGTCGACAAAACGTGTCTGGCCATACACTGTTCGAGGGCTGTTGTGTTAATGGTCTGTCTATAGTCAACTATAGTCGTCACTCGAACCATGCTCGAACTTGCCATAAGAATTTCTACAGTATCTGCCCCGAGCTGAAGTGCACCCCCAAACGGCGAAAGAAAGACAAGTGGTTACAAGCAGACTTTTGCATGCCTTCTGTTCTGCGTGTGTACGCAACACCATACATACCGTCTTCCGGCTCGTAAGTGATTCGTCACAAAGGCGGACGTGCCAAGGTTTTCAGGCTCCCATTGGACAATCGCTGAAGTTGCGCGTTAACTTCCGGTTCCATGGTTCCATGTAAACGGCGATCAATGCATGCAACCCTATGTGCTCTGTATGTGCAGTGGACCTGGTTTAAACTGAAGTGACGTCACACTTACGAACCGGATAAAGTTGCACGAAATCAGCGTGCTCTGCGTCAAACGCGCATATACTTGCGTGCCTTATGGCGCGCCTATACGGTTAGTAAAAAAAAAAAAAAAAAACCAAAAAACAAAATCAAAACAAAAAAAAACCCCAAACCACGCCCTCTTTTATACCACTCGATGCAGATTAGAGGTTGCAGGCCAGTAAATAAACTGCCATAGCCAACAGTGATAAATACCCGAACTTCAAAAAATTTGGAAAAATATGAGTTTCTCAGGCGTTTGAGACACACATTAAATTAAAGCCCAGTTTATGATTTTTCATATTCTTTTTAAATTTACATTCATTAACTGATGACTTTTGCAGATACTTATTTCCACGGAAGGTCACCCCTAAAATTGAAGTCCCACATCATTTTGAAATTTCGATGCCTACACCTCTCGAAAAATAGACCGTTTTCAGGCACTGATTTCTTCCAAATCTCACTCAGACGCCATCTGGTATTCTCTTTGCCCGCCTAAACCTGTCTTTTTACAAATCTTCAAGTTCAGGGGCACCAAATGCTCTATTTCGTAGAGAATTGTGATTTGGCCTGCGCAAGCAGTTTTCGGCCTGTTTACTGGCCTGCATCACTAGGGCAGGGGTCCATCAGGCTGCCTCTCTGACCAGGTCCCTTCCACAACGGGGACAGCCCTGGCCCTACTGGGAGCCCGCGAATCACATATTCATGCAGATGATGAGTGAAGACTAGCTGACCAGAGAGGGCGTTCTTCCAGCTTTTTTGATATAGGCCTAGCTTGGGGGCCTAACTCAATGGGATTTTCTCAGCTGTGTCATGTTTTACTTTTACACAGTCCTACAATTTCATTCGCCAAACAAACTCCCTTTATGCTCACAGCCCGATGGAAAATGAGTGTACATTATGATAAAGGCGCCGCGCCACCTTCAAGTGAGCATGCTTGAGAGCGGTAGTCACGTGACCGTCGCAGGTCCCCATAGTCTTTTTCCCTAACCAAAGGGGTTTGGTATCCACACAACGCCCTTATTGATCTCCATTATTAATCAATGGAGCCCTAGCAGGAAGGCCCCTGTTGTGGAGGCGGGGCTTGGTCAGAGAGCTGGAGGTAGACTGACAAACCCTATTGGAATTTCCAAGTCAAAAAAAAACGAATACTGAGCGTGTGCCCGTCAAAATATTGTAGCCGGGTAAATCATGTAATTAGAAATGGAATGTAGGTCTACTGAGGCGTGAACTGGTGAATATTTTGCTTGTGTGCCACTGTTTATTTACTAGCTGTATGATTGTTTAACCCTTTTGGGGTTTGTTTTTGAGTTGAAATGTGTTATCAGGCATTTGTCAGATATTCTCTATCATGTCCAACTAGTAAGTCAAGCTCCAGACAATTCTAAGCACTGATAACTGGGACTAACATTAGGCTTAAAAACATGAATATTCCTTCCTTCGTGGCTAGATCGACATTGCACAGCTCCCCCTTGGGAATCCCCCCCCCCCCGAAAGCGTGGCTACGGTCACTTCCTCCGTTTGTGAAAGATATTTTTTTCAAGCTGATGTGGGGCATGTTGGGTGATGAATTATCCTATAGGATCTTGCAATATGGTAATTCTGAATCCGCACGATGGGAACGGGAAAATATGACTATATTTCTCTGAATGGTGATAGAAATTATTGGTTGTTAATATTGACAGATGTTCTTGGTTTTATTGCAGCACATCAACCCATGTTACCTCCATGTTAGGATGAACCACACAATGATACGACATGGAGGAGGAGGTTGATTTCGTCTAACAAAATAACATTTATAAATGTAACATCAGGCACACTGTTTTACGGATTGATTGAGAATTCAGTGAAACGGATTTCAAGAAAATGTGATGTGTTATAGTTTCTCATTTTGTCAATGTCCTTTTAGCTGATGTACTTTCTTTCTGTTCAGGATCCCTGTCTGTCTATGCGTATCCAACCGATGATGGCCACAATGTTTCATCCAAACAACCCTTGTTTAGCATTTCGGGTCAACAGACCGGCCAGCATGCATGGCTACGCGCTCAAGTCGACGTTTCTAACCAAACATCAAATTTCACAGTGGCTGTGGAGTTGGCAACTATCGGCTTTGCTACGAGCGACATGGCAATTGATGACGTTGAACTTTGGTTGACTGACTGCCCAAGTGAGTGGAATCCATTTTGGAGGGTATTTCATTTCCGACTCTATTAATGAATTCTTGGAGCTCTTTAAGCCTAATCCACAATGAATCCTAATTATCCACTTTCATTCTTTAGTTGGTACGGGGCATGCCATGGCAGCTTAGCTAAATAAAGTAACACAAAGTAGTCATTGTAGTGTTTCCACTAAAAATTGATGGGATATTTAATCAAGAGATGAAAGGGCTAACACGTAACTATCATGATAGATAGATCATACCACTTACTGAAGACATGTCTTAATTTAGGATAGCTTTAATTCCTTGTATAGCGCAAAGCACGTCCTTCAACTGCAGTTTCGATGACGGTCCCTGTGGTTGGACACAGTCCACTGATGATGACTATAACTGGGCGCTGGAACGTGAAAGAACTCGTACAGGTCACACGGGACCAAGATTTGACCACACTATTGGAGGTGAGCTATTAATAAGTGATGTGGTTTGGGACTCATTTAGAAATTTTAAAACTGACTGAAATTTTATTCCTACCGTGTTTTACAGGCATGGTGTATTTAATTTTGACAGGAAAAATAGAGAGTTCTTTTAAATCAAGGAAACATTGAAATATATGTAGTGGTTCCTTGCGTGCCGCAATTATAGTGAAATTTGTCGATAAAAAGGAAGGATTTTGAGTTTCTGTTTTAATCTAATGCCCAAGTAGGTTGGTCTCGTTGCATGAAACACCTCTTGGGGGTAAGGAAGTACATGTACACGCAGGGAAGATCTCTGGAACAAGTGTACGACTGACGTAAAGTACAAACGAAGACAAGTAGGAATTATACAGGCGTTACTCATCCGTGTCAATAACGTCACAAGCTATAATACCATTGCAAAGAGGACATTCTGTCCTTTCTAGAATTATGTTTTTCTGTCCCATTATATAAAGAAGTTTTGCCATTACAGTAATGTTTATCGTAGTATACTTTTTATGTGGAAACGCTGTATAATCACAAGTTTAAAAACTTGGTGTCATGTGCCTCACTGTGACACTTTTTCCTTCCTCCATGTTGTTACTTGTGTC